TGCCCGCGCGGCCGCCAGCTGCTCTGTCCCAGGCGTACAAATTCAGCTGCTGCTGAAACTGATCAGCGGTTGATTCCAGGAAGCCCAGGGCAGAGCAACTTTGCCTCGGGCTTCCTGTAGTCAGCCGCTGGTCAGTTTCAGCAGTGGCTGAATTTGGACGCCAGTTCCGACTTACATACAAATTCAACTTAAGAACAAACCTACAGCCCCTATCTTGTACGTAACCCGGGGACTGCCTGTACTTAGTACAGGACAATGAAGTTTAAGCTCTGGGTACTAAGATCAGTTACTAAATTACAAATATAAAAAACATTAAAAGTAAGTTGATGTCACAAGGTGCTGCAACATAAGGGAAGAGTCAGGCAACTTTCATTCTGCCCCCAGGTGAACATGCAATCAAATGCATAAACAGAAAATGGGGACAGGTCTCAAAGGGGTAGCTATGTTAGTCTAACTGCAAAAACAACAAGCAGTCTCCTGGCACTTTAAAGACTAAGAGATTTATCTGGGCATAAGCATTTGTGGGTAAAAACCACTTCATCAGATGCATGGCATTCATGTAGGACAGGAGTCCTCTAAGGGAAAAAAACATGTTATCAAAGTCTTTGGTGCATTGATTTTGCAGCTTCAATATTCTTTTGCTTATATGGCATTTCTAAGCTTTTAGAAAAGAAATGGCATGTAAAGAAATATGGAGAGCTATCTTCTTGACAACAATTGAAAGCTATGTTTTGCAAGAGATGTGTACTAATGAGGTAAGAGCTCTAATTGCTTCCTTCCGCCAACCATCATATGAAGTGAGTCAGAATTATGAAGGGCACCTTTAAAAGTAAGGCAAATCCACTCAAGATTACATATGCATACACACAAAGTGCCAAAAGAACCTTAGGAGATTGCTGGTCACTTCAAAAGTGTACTTTATGCATTTTTTAACTAACATTTACCAATTCAGAATACATATTCACCAGACCTTCATCAAGCACACATCTATGCCACAGACCATTTCCATGGTAAATGTTAAGTTTCTCTCACACCTCACTGGGAAACTGTATCTATTCTTAGATTTTTCTTTTAGTAATGGTTAAAATATTCACCCAATCCTTACCCCATTTTTGTAACTAAAAATTGCTAAACATTTTTCTTCACATTTTTTAAAAGAATCACCTTCAAGAACAGATCAGAGTTGGTATACTTCAGCCCAAGCAATGATAATTTGACAAGGTTAAACGCAACTAAAAAAAGACCTTTCATAATGAAAACAAATGTACTCTTAATGGTAAACATCACTACTCACTCCATATATGATTTATAACACATTACTCTGAAGAGATTTGGTGACACAAAATTGTACTTTGTTTTCTATAAATCTATTCATTTGGGTACTGAACTTGAAAATTTCTACCAACATCATGTTTATTATTAAATACACCTTACAACTGTAATGGTAATCACCACATTACTTCCTACCACAATCCTTAGACATGGTAATTTCATTCCATACTGTTATTCAGACTTTTAAAAAACTCACAAAATGTATTTTTAAAATAAAATTCTTATTTGAGGTCACAGGCAAAAAGGTAGCTGTCCTGACAAATATAAAGAAACTGTTCAATAATTTGAATATCTACAGGCAGTCCCCGGGTTACGTACAAGATAGGGACTGTAGGTTTCTTCTTAAGTTGAATCTGTATGTAAGTCGGAACTGGCGTCCAGATTCAGCCGCTGCTGAAACTGACCGCCAGTTCTGACTTA